ATGCGTGCAGGGTAATCAGAGAGACTCCAGGAATATTTGAGCGAATACGTGGCTCAATGCGCCGACGTCTAGACGCATGCGTAATGTCTGAAGGTAGACATATTGAACATTTACTATGATTTCTACATGTTGTGTGTTTTGTTATTGATAAATTAGTTTTGTTTATTACCCTTTAATCGTTTAATGCAGGTACTAACTATAAAATAACAATAAATCCAGTTCGCATTTATGACGATGTATCTCTGTAGTTGTTCGTAAAATAATTTTTTGCTCTACTGGTTTATTTTGGGCAAAAAACCCAAGAGACATTTTTTGTTTAGAATGAAACAGGCTATCGGAAATAAATTTTCAAATGGTAAACAAATAAAAAGACAAAAAGTTACATTGGAAAAAATTTTAGGGGTTGCGTTTTCTACCCCTTACAACCATGGAGCAAAACCAAATAAATTACTGGCTAAGTGTCTTTTTGGTAGTATAAAACGTCAGGTTAATTTCAATATTGTAACTTTTTTAGTTTTTTCAGACATTCATTTTTTATTCTTCTTTCTTAGTTCTTTAAGGGATTTCAAATCATTTTATATATCAGACAATGGAAGTCCGAACTAATGAAATTCATAAAATATACATAATCACAACCTGACAACAATGTATTCGTTTTAATTTCTGAGAGTTTATTGCCTACTATTACGAAATTTCAGCATAGTACTATAATAATTTGATATATTAAATTAGTTATAAACAATTTTTCAATATTTGCAGTCTTTTTTCTTGAAAAGTTTCTCTTTCAATTCATTTTTTGTGAAAGGGAAAAAGCATTAAAACAGCCACTAGTAAAGACGATTCCATTCTCTTTTTCACTTCCGATAAAACAACAATTATATATTTGTGGCTCAATAATTATTTATAGTTTAAGTGATTGATCAACCATCTGGTACAGGAGAAAACTTCCGTTTCTTTGAAATTATACTTTTCTATGGCTAATTACGCATTTCTATTATTTTTATTTTCTATTCTCAGTTGAATTATAGTGATGTTGACTGGAATTATTATGAGCGCAATAATTTGATGTCTACTTACCGATTAAGAGATTTGATGGCAATCGTAAAATTCACATGGTTTTGTCGATAATCTGAAACAAAAAAATACACATTAAGCATACAGGTATAATTGCCAGGAATGTAAATAGATGAATTAGCTTTACTTAATTGTATAATATGTGTGCAGTAATAATTAAAAATTTGAAAAATTAAGAAAAGTTTGATAGTATATCTTTTCATACTAATGAATATTGTTGCTTCTACTAATGTTCCATGGTTGAATGATATAAAAAATCACATGTAACTGCTATTTGTCAGAAAAATAAAACATCTGATAATCAGCCAGTCATAAAAGGACTTTTATTTATGCAGATTGTGATGGAAGGATTGAGGGTAATATAATATAAAATCCCAATTTTTTTCAAGAAGAGAATTAAAGAATCGTTTCAAATTCTTTCTCGAGTTCAAAAATGTTTTATTTGAAAAATTCAAACGTTTTTAATGACACTTCAATAGCATATAATTACTATAGATTTTTATTAGACATTAGTGCGTATTCCATGAAGGTATTCAAACCAATAAATGTCAGAAATTGAAAACATTTTCCAGTGTATTCAATTTATTATTTTTTCGTTTTCTGATATATCAAAAAGTAATTTCAAGTTTCTCATGCAAACAGTGAACTGCCATGATTGAAATATATTTTAGAGTTGAGTAGGATCATATTAATTCCAATATTCTGTTCTATTTTCGAACTGTGTTCCGATTTTGCAGGCATCAATTTCATTTTGTACGGTGACTCAAAAAATAAAAATAATTTCGTTCGATCTGACTTTTTATATGAAACATCTTTTATTGTGAGATTGTTACATTATGTTACATACAGTTCAGAGATAACAGGAATTTCCTATAGCTTCAACACCCCCTTTTCCGAACCATTTTATACTTTTCTGAATGAATACCAAATGCTTTGGTAGAAAGGTCTTTATTGTTCAACTATTTCATTGGTTAGTATTATGCTTATATTGTCCATTAAATATTTTTTGGAGAAATCAGTTTATACTAACTTCCTGTTTTATGCCTTTTCTATATTTTAGAGAATGCATTCATGATAATGACTTGGAAAGAGTTTCATGTAATGATTTGTTCAAGTCATGTGCAATCAATGGAAAAATGATAGTAATAGTTGATGAAAAACTTTATGATCCATTCGATGTGAGTCTAGGAAAACCACAAGTAGTGGTTCTTGGCCCATTATCATTTCTATTATTTCTATTATACTGGTATGTCAACGATCTGGACTCGAAAATAGAACACTATTGAGTATTTTGTATGCCATCTATGCCACTATCGTTGTTGTTTCGCCAAACTTACATGGAGTGGAAAATAAAGCCATAAAATCTCTCACACAAAGTAAACATATTTGAAATTAGTTCAGTTATAAAACTTTGATCATTTTGAATATAAAGTGTCACCTCTCCACGACCAGTTTTTCAATAAATTGCCAATACTTATGAAAGACAAAAATAATGTTAAATTAGGTGAGAAAATTAGGTAGTAAATTGAAAAATATTGTAAGTACAATTTATTTCAATTTCCTGGAAAAATTTGTAATGCTTTGTAAATCTGTGTTTCGTGACTTGTTATACAGTGCATTTCTTTAATGACCCCCACTTTTATTTTTTGAACGGGTCAACTCAAAAAATTGAAATTTGGGATAACGGAATTAATCATCAATACTTCATTTTGAAGGGAAATTGACAGATGAAACTTTCAAGATGGCGACGGGGTGCCATCTAGGAAAAAAATTAAATGAAAAGGGGGTCTTGTGACACATCTTACTGAAGCTCCTGACAAATGCTTCACAACCTAGTCATCTATCCGATATTTCACGCCGAACATTTTCGAACACATTACCGTCAATATCTCTACAAATATTTATTATTCTCTGCCGTATATCCAATATTAAAACAGGTTCAGTTTCGTACAACTTTTGCTTCAAATAGCCCCATAAAAAAGTCAAAATGTGTCAAATCTGGCGAGCGGGCTGGCCATTCTGTAGGACCTCGACGGACCTTACTTGTCTGGAGTAATATGGAGGTGCTCTATTGTGTTCATTGAAAATCCTTTCGGTCTTGTGAAAGTTACGCGTCACACCGTAACTAAAAATCACTTCAATTTTTTCTTCCAATGGACGATCGTTGACCATTTCAGAGATTGTTGATTGGTACCTTTCTACTAGTGAAACCAAAAACTGAATGAGAATATTCTAACTGAATAATGATGTTCATTTTCGTACTGACATTTTTTGTCGTTTTTATAAACAAAAAATAACTTAACAAACCTTATCGGTTGTTGAAATTGCCATATGACAAATAAAAAGGAATATTTCTAGAAATATCGATATTAATGTGTTTGTCTTCAGGAAATTATTAAATGTTCCACCATGTTGTAGTAGTTGAAGATATTGACATTATATTCTCTCTTTCCATTTAATT